GCCTGCTGCCGCCGCTCGACGCGCGACTGTCCGCGCCTCATTTGCCTATATTTTATAAATTATACCTATATATGGCAATATGTACAGTTCAGCAACATTTAATACACGCTTTAACGGTAACAAAAGACGAAAGAACATCGAAATATGAAAGTTTTAATTTTTTGCCACGTGCAGTGCCTTCATTCGTTGAATGTGTTAGTAGGAAAGCTCATATTCATATATTAGCTTAGATATTGTTATAATATTAACAATTCTATGAAGAAAAAAGAAGCAACAAGAGAAGGAGGAAAATCAAGAAGCAATTACACGCATTTAAATTTAAAAAGAAATACACAGACGAATTTATTTAGATAAATTCGTCTCTGTGTTTTGTCTCTTTCCGCCTCCTTTGATTGTTCAAAGGAGTTCATAAATATGTTTCCAGCAGTGCCTTACCCACATTTATGCTATGGAACAACATGTATTACAATACAAACATTTTAAATTTCAAACCATAAATGCATGCTTGCAAAATACCTCAGATACACTACACGTATGTATATATTATAGTTATATGTGTATCAATAAATTTTATTTTAAATAAAAATAAACATGCTGTACGCTACTATATCAAAACACACCCGTGAAAAACACTCGGACTGCGATATATCAAAACATTATATTATTATGTCATCAAATTCTTAGTTTTGTTTCAGCATGGTTCGGAACGCCTATATTCAACCGTCTAAGAATTACGTAATCAACAGAAATATGGATGTTACATTAGATAGACAAAATTCAAAAAACGTTCTTTGAGTTTAAAGAGATAATACATGATTGCTTGTATGTTTGCCGCTCATTAATTGGCGAACACGGTTGGCGTGTTAATTGATATTGGTATTACGAGTAGTTGCTAGTATTGAGTAACGCTTGACAGATCGCGACGCTGCCAATACTGTAAGATATGTTACGTACATACAATACAAGCTGTAGGGAGCACTGAGCAATGTGCCCGCTGATGTGTACTGGTGCGTGGTACGGACTTGGTCAGCTGGAACTATTTATTGATAGCAATAGGGTAATTACTAATGAACGGTGTATTGTAATTATTTCTTTCTTCTTTTTAACGTTTATCCTACGAGTACGTTGTATGTAATCCTAACCTATCTATAATCTATTTTATCTTTGTTGTATAAGAATATGGGGTAAGTAGGCTCTTGTCTAATGGCTGTACAAAAATGGTAAGTTTAAGATTTTGTTACTAAAGCCAGATCAGTTCAGATCGCAGTTTTTATTTATTTTGTTAGCAGAGTTAAAACTCTTTGTACCTACCTACTGAGCTCGTGATAGTTTTGTTTTAGATATAATTACAAATATATTAGCTTAGTAATTATTATATTTCTTCGTTCTGTTAAGATCTGTGATATATTTTATATTACTAATACTTTTATATATTTACTACTACTATTACTAATATATTTATACTTTTATATATTTTATATACTAATAACGAGAAATCGTTTTCTTTGTGGTGAGTCCGTGTACTAACCTTAAAAAACAGCTTTAAACTTGACAATTGAAGTGAACATTACGAAGATATGTTGCGCTTTGTCGAGTTACACGTAGCAATCGCACAGTAAACTCAAATGAACCGCCAGCGCATGTACGGTGTACAGGTATAGCGGAGAGTGCGTGCTCGCTGAGCAACGACGGGCTCTAAAAAACACGGCTGAGTGACATAAATATTGTATAGACGAGCGCGGAATGAGTAATGAGGGCGTGCATTTTCTTGTGTCGCTTCTTGCGGCGGCGAAGGCGACCGTCCGCAACGGGCACCGAGCGAGCCTCAAACTTTCCACCGCCGCCGCCGGCCTGTCATATAATATGTCCAGTTTATTAACTGCGTTTGACACAATCAGGCGCCACGTACCAGTGTTGTCGCCGAACAACTCACAATTGGTGTGGACGTCGGTAAAAGGAATATTAAAGTCTGTGCCTACTTACTTAGGTTATTTACAAGTATCCTTACGAAGAGTATTGCTATACGATATAATGAAGAGTCTGTCTTCAGGAAAATGCCAACATTTGAAATATAAATAAAGTTTGTAATTCAGGTGTTTGTTTCAAAAACGTAGGTAGGTGTCTGCTGACCGAGAATCGACCCACTGGGCTTCTTTACTTCAAAGTTATATCAGTATTTATCAATTTTTGGATTCTTTCCATGATAACTTGTTTTAAATAAATTCTAATAAATCAAAAGACAACAGGAAGTCTCCGTCTTCCAACTAGGCGTGTGGGCATTACTTGAAAAATTTAAGTTATATTAAAGTAAAATAATTAAAGTATATGAACTGTAAAGGTTTGAGATCCATTAGCATGTGTGACGTTGTCGGCTGCGCTCGCGCATTACCGTCGCTCGGTGGCGATCTCTGTCGCGCACTACTAGTAGGTACCTTAAATCATAACATAACATATTCTACACTTACAGATAACCTTTAGTGTAAAACATTTACAAACGCAATAAGAAGCATACAATATATGGTTATATATATACGAGTATATTTAGTAACTTACTAACTACGAGATCTGTTTGATATACAGAGTACGGACATAATAAGACCAGCATGATGCACACGCAAATGACGCAGACTAATGACAAACGTTGCTAAACGACCACCTCGGAAAGACTGCTAGTCAGTCGTTTAAGTCGGCTGATCCACTCGAAGTATATTTGCAGGTGTGTCTTACATGGCTGTGGGTATGGAGAACTTGTATGTTAGCAAGGTGCAACCATTAAGATATTCATTTCCTACGTTATAAGTAGTATTACACAATGAAGGTAGGCGGTTAGTATAAGATGAACACAGTAAAGAGAAAAGACGAGAAGAGATTGTAAGCATTTGACGACCGAATGGCGTAGTGGTTTGTATTGTGGTGGACTATTTTCTTCAAATTTAGAAATGACAAATGCGTAGACTACTAATTATATTAAATGGAGTGGATCTCTCTAAGATGTGGTTGAGTACCATGGTTCATGACTAATCTAGTTTACTGAATGTGGTGACGTGAGCGACATTCAAAACCAAATTATTACATTTATACCTGAATGCCTTGACAATGCGCTAGCACAAGTTTCAATTATTGTACTCATTTCAGTTTGTTATTTATTTGTATCAAGTGTAAACTCAACATATGGAATTACCAATCATCATCATCAACAGCCTCTAGTAGTCTACTGCTGGGCATATACCTCTCCTTAGAAAGGAGGTTTTTGCCTACTGTACCACAGTGGCCAGATGGATTGGTTAGGGTTTGTTTCAAGTTTGCCTTTTCTTTACAATGTTATCGCCATGCGTAGTTTGCTCCCTTAGTCGGCTTTTACGATACTCACTGGTTAAACAGGGGTGGTGATACTCCGTAATTTTAATCCGTCACCACAGGGAAATTTCATGAATTGCCAATACTTCCACGATATTACTATGGGCTAAAACTAATATTGATTTGAATATATCAAGTTAGATGGCGCTACATGGGTATGTACATTTTAATCTGTTTTACAGATCTCACTCACGGCCGTCTTATCCAAAACTAGGCAGAGCCTGCACTATGGTAACCAGACTGCTGATAAACATACTTATATTTTCTTAATACACACATATTATAGATGTATTACACCAAGACACAGAACAAATGATCGTACTCAAATATTTGGCCTGGGTGGGAATCAAATCCACGACCTATGGTTTGGCAGTCAGTGTCACTAACCACAGGACCAACAGCAAAATGGTGAGAGCAGTACTAGTACCACAGTATAATGTATGTATGTAATATATTATAGAATATCTTGCGATGAAATGATTTTATTTTTGAACTTACAGATAATAATTTTCTACTTTTTAATTCGTCTAGTTACAAAAGTTATTATATTTTTGCTCCTTTAGTCATTAATGATGGTTATTTTCTCATTAAGACTAAAAAAGTAACAAGTAAGTAAGTCACATATGCTTTAGCTTACGCCTCTAAGTATGTAGCTAAAGACACTTTTGTATTTTTATGTACATGGAAGAAGCCGCTAATCCTGAAGATCCTGATCAGGATAATCGGCCTAATTTACCAAACTATTGTATTATCATCGGTCCTTGATAAGTGTGCGAAGTTTTAGTTTAAATCACGTTCGAAGATTTCGTTATTCACAATTTATTTATTTGCTGTTTGCCGTTACATAAATACATACATAGTAAGTATGTATGTATTTATGTAACGGCTAACAGCAAATAAATAAATTACGGGCTAATAAAAGCGTGTTAAAATCGGTATCCACCACCACCACCACCACCACCAACAACCTATAACAGTCCACTGCTGGACATAGGCCTCTCCTTAGAAAGGAGGTTTTGGCCTACTATACCACGCTGGCCAAACGGGTTGGTATAGGGTTTGTTTCAAGTTTTCCTTCTCTTAGCAGTGCTGTCGTCCTGCGTAGTTTGCTTCCTTAGTCGGCTCTTACAACACCCACGGGATGAATAGGGGTGGTGACATTCCGTATTCCTAATCCGTCACCACACGGACACCACAAAATCGGTATCAGTTCAGACAATTGGTGATTTTGTCGGCGTATTTTATGAATCTATGTTCTGAGTTGATACTCGATGCAAATACAAAACAGTTATCATTTAAAAGGTAACAATTTAAGAGTGAAATCATATTAAGACTAGACTAATCGTACCACATACCTACATGTGCAAAGTTAATTTATGTAGACAAATTGCACTAAGGCATGTCCGAACAGTGGTTGTTAAACATTGAGGTGTTCCATTAACGAAGTATAACGGTAATGAAACTAATTAATTGCTAGCAATAAAATCTCAGAGAGAACGCTCAAACGTTGTTTGTTAAAATCTTGACAATGAACGTTCAGAGGCAAAGAAATTGATAAAGAAATCAACATTGCAAATTCACTCGGAGCACGATCGTTATCTAAGCAAATCCATGTCCGAAACTCGTACAAAGACCATCAACATTCATGACGAACCGTAAGGCTGCCAGTCAGATGTGAGCTCTACGACAATGACCAGAGTGCTTAAATTTGGGCATAGAAAGATGAGAAGTGGTTTTGAATGACATTTTTTGCCGAGTGTAAGTCTTAGTTTTGGAAAGTGTGTACTAAGTGAGTGGAGCGAGGGTTTTATTGTATCGCAGCCTGGCGGCGATGGCGGTGATGAGCGGTAGCGATGCAAGCGACGTGTGACAGGCGTCCCGCGAATGGCGGCAGCGCATTCCAGCGCGACGGCGCACCTTGTTGGTATTCCGCGGCCGCGTCGCGCGCGCAAACCGACCGCGCAAAAAAGACAATGACTTCGTATTTTATACGTCTCTAAAAGTTCCATCAGTGTATTGATACGATTCGTCTGTCCTGCCCTTAAATGATGGGCTCGACTGCTTTTGTTTTTGAAGGATTTCATCGCTCCCGTGGTCGCGGACATTTTTTAAATTGATGCGTTCGCTAAATCATATTAAATGCGTCTTTAGGAGATAACATCGAGCCTCATACATAAATGAGGCAGAGCGCGTCTAAAAACTTCAAAGTTAACGACGTGTATTGATTTCTATTGTCGTATAAACATTTCGTTGGAATTGGTTTTGGAAGTCGTGTACTAGTAAGATGTTTGAAGTAACAAGATGGTGCTGTAGTGAGCTTCCAGGGGAGCGAGTGGCTACCAGGCGCGAGCCGGTACTGGGAACTGCAGTGTTTGCTCGCCTCTTGTTCTAATATTTGGGGACTTTGTTTCTGAGCGCTATTTGCCGTGGCAGCGGCATAAAGCGGCCGCGGGTAAACAACCGTCTGTTTTGTCCGTATGTCGGTAACGACTCGTACGGTTTGGAGAAATACGTGGCAGACGAGCAGGCCGACGATTGTGATGTTTGTGTAGCGGCCACTGAAGGTGTCACGTAAGTGTTATAGACAATGGCGGTCTGTTAAAGCACGTGTAGGTATCGGCGCGTCCTCGCCGCGGATTCGTCTAGGTCGCGGAGAGCTCGGTCTCAGATGCCAGCAGACATTGAACCACAATAGGCACTCAACCCACAACCATGCTTCACAATAATGCGTTGATCATGTCATGTTCGTTCGGTGAGGCATTTAAACTACTTACATCGGTCCCTAATCTGCTTATTCAAATATAAATATATGCTCAGTAGCTCGGACCGGGTAAGTAGGTAAGTAGCAACGAATAAACAAACCTTTAACTATAAGGTATGAGGGAATCTAATGGTAGTTGGCAAATGAAGTAGTATTGTTGAGTTAAATTCTGTGGTGCGATGTAGACTTTAAAAGGGAATAACAACGAAAACGCTCTCTAGCTTGGAATAAGGTGATAGATAGGGCTGTGCCTCAACTTAACAGAAAACTGAAGCTAGACACAATAGTCGTGTTTCTTAATATTTATTTGTTAGTATCTCTGTCTTTCTTTCTTACTCTGTAACAAGCCCGTGTATGAACGTCTTAAGACATACTACTCACGACTTACTTCGTCTAAAGTTTAGGTACTGCTGTGTACGTTCTTGGGTAGTGGCCATTATTTTACTTTACGTCGGTATTCGGCTCCCATACTTTGCAATGGATAGTTTTAGGTCAAGCTAGGTCCCTACAGAAGAAAATTAAACAACTGGGACAACTATTATATTAATGAACTTCTCAAAGAAATGCGGCGAATACGATAGAAGAAGTTCTGGGATTAAATTGAGATAAAGGAACTCAATTGAGATAAAAGTAGATGGATTAAGCCGGCGTGTAAGGCAACAGATAGGCAATCTTGTTGATAGTAGTGACCTTTGGTGCTACAAGTATAGACAACAGTCAGGTTTCAGTGGGTACATGCATGTGATCATGCGCCAGCGCCGGTGCTCGGTCGTGAACTCGTGACGCATGCGCAGTGCGCGGGGGTCGCTTACACACCGTTATCTTTTATGAGAGGTACGTCGCAGATTTTGGCGCCACACTGCTAAACTACAATGTTTTATATCTGTCATACATTCACATAGGTACACATACGTGATTAAATGGGATATTTAATTACACTTGTAAACACACTAAACATTATAACATTATTTAAGCTTACCGTCAAACACTTTATACCACCAGGACTTTATACCATCAAGAATGTTTGCGGTGGATCAGGGCCTCAATTCTGCTATTTTATGTTTACGCCAAGCCAGTGTCATATCACTGACACGCTATTGAGATGCCATCGAGTAGCCATTGGCATCGGTATAAATATCAGTAGTTGAAAGTATATTACGTTTTTTGAGGAAATTATTTATTTGTTTATAAGAAATAACAACAAATTTAATAAAAAATATGAATCTAATTAATTTGGTGCAATTTCTAAATATTTGGACATCGTATTAAGTAACTAACTTAGCCTAATGAATTACTAACACTAATGGATTGTACTGTCTGATTCAATAAATGATTGTTTGAGTGATTGATTATTATTTAGAAAACACTTGCTTGCCGAAGTGCAAAGTCTCTTAAAGCTCCCGTTGAGGAATTTTGTAGGATTCTGACAGTCGATTTAAAACGGAACTGCATCGCTGGCTCCCGTGAGATGTTTCCGAGGTTTTCCACATATCTATGAATAAACAAATCTAAACTACGCCGAAACTAGTAAAAGAAGTCCATTCTGTTTTATAATATAGTTAGTGAGGTTCAATCAACGAAGTCTTTATACTTTTATACAAAAACAAAATTATTTTCTCAAGTGAGAATTGCATTCCATACTCAGCTAGTAGATGACCTAGGGCCCACACTTTCTAGCGCTGCGTAGGCGAGATGTAGACATGTAGCATTTCTACTTGAGTTAAATGTTCGTCAGGAAAGTGTTTTTGAAAGCGAGTTCATCATTATTCAACACCAAGAGTGGGCGCAGCTAGCGCAGGCTTTCCCTAATCGTGGCCGCCCGAGATCCTACACAGGTGACGTCACCATGTACCATGACAATGGCACACCCATCAATACCGCCTCTCCAATACTGAAAGAAACTGTAATATAAAACGGCATCTCCTGCTGTCTCACTTTGAGGAAATGAGGTCCACAGTACAGATATACATATGTTTATCATTAAACATGTGCATTTGAACAAACGTATACAATAAGAGAAATGAAATAAATAAAATAAAACAAAATATTTATGTAGAACAGTGAAGCATCACGTCCTCTATGTAATTTCCTAAACTGGTGAAAGAAATGGTGTCGTCCTTACCAATACTAAGTCTCCCGAACTTGAAACAAAAGAGTCACCATATACCTTCAAGGGAGGTATGGGAGGTAAGTGGAAGTCCGCAGCTAAGAACAAAGTATTTACTTTTATATATTATTATAACCAATGTATTTAACTCTAAATGTCTAAATAAAATACTATTAAATGAAATGAAATGATACTTTAATTGCAGAAATATGGTACATGGGCTGTTTATAGTTATTAGAAGTGAATCATATATTTCGTCAGTCTGTTCTGACATGCAAAATTTTAAACTTACATGCATATTACAACAAAAGATTGATTTAATAACCAACTACTAAGCTCATGTCGATAAACAATTTACATAATGTCAAATTTGTAATTGCAATGTCAAATTTTTAATCCGATAATTTATTTCTAATATGGAACACAACATACAATAAAATATTATCAGGTGTTTTTGTAATTATCGCTCATTTAGTTATTCGGTTACTGAGTATATCATTTTTTACAAAACCACATTTTCTATTTCCTTTTAAATTTCAGTAGGGGCAGCGTCTTTATGGTTGGTGGCAAGCTATTAAATATTTTGATACACATATTATACCTAATAATATTTTTGGAATAGTGTAGTTCTAGGAACAAAATCCAGGCCTAGTCTTTCACTGCCCCGAGTGTTGCGTGGGAATATATATTTTGCCTTTTTAAATAAACTAGGGTTACTTTTAACAAATACACTTACTTCAAAGATGTACAAACGGGGCAACGGTAATAGTTCATATTTTCTAAAAAATTAAATTACTAAAACCAAAATATTAAATATACTCGTATGCTCATCAAGTAGAAATTTTAGTTTACCTTAACTTTCATTACAAATTATTTTTTAGGAATAAAATAGGTACACTAAGCCGTGGCTCACGCGAGATACTTCAGTTTGTCTACGGCGATCATTCTTTCCTTTCGTGCTTAGTATGACCATCCGCTACAAAGTAGCTGGACGAGTTACGTTTCATTTTATCACATTGTTCAACAGAGATTAAGACAGTGCGTAATGTGTTATCACAGCCGGCCCGCGACAAAGTCACCGCCTCGGGAACAGCTCAGAGATGTCTCACAAAGGAATATTAATTAGTGTGAGTTGATCGCGAACGACAACGCAACTGTGAATGGAATTAAAATTGTTCAACATTCTTATTCAACGCCGAGACGTTCTCAAATTACGATCTCGTGCGTGCTACTGGTTAGCCGTTTACACGTTTGCACCGACTCGGAAAACCTAATTTAGTATTTACACATTAATAGCGTAATATTAATATTTGCTCTGTTTATAACCTGCCCCGAGGGCACGTGTTTCCGTTTAATATAAGATGGCTACACAAGTGAGCTTTTACTGTTACCGAACTATTACTGTTCGTAAATTTAATATAATTTTATTACGAATCTTAAAAAAAAGGCCGCATTAGTACTATGCGATGATATTAATATAGAGTTACTTTTATGAAACCTCGAAGATAGCATCTGTCAGTAACTAGGCCCTGTTTAGTAACTTGTTTGCTAATAAAGCATCTGTCTTTTACATTACTTTACTATTTATGTTATCATCATAGAGCAATAGGTAAAATTGGTAAGGGTTTGGTTGCTTTAAAAGCAAGTATACGTTGCTTTCTTATTTATTACCTTTAGAGCACTGTTTTCTTAAGGTATCGAAATGAGCAGTCACCTGATGGTAAATGACTAGCGCCGCTCCTGAAACTCCTGTACCTGCTCCTGAAACTCAAGAGATGCTAGAGCTTGGCCGCCCTATGAAGCCTCCGTTAACCTCGCTCACTCGATGAATAACAACGAGACCTTAACACCGGTATCTGTGAGTGGTACATATCACTTCGGTCGAGCCGGCCCATACGCGCGAAGCATACCTCTCAAATGGTGATGAACCGTTGTGCGAGTACCATCCATCATTATGGCTTACAATTCACTTCAGTTGTAAAGCAATGATCAAAATGACCCTGAATATGACTCAATACGAGCATTATGACGGCAAAGAAAGTAGTAAAAAGTACCTTTGGATGAAATATAGTTTTTATTCGGCACCGTCACGACGTTAGCCGACACAAGCGACGTGATTGTAAAACCGATTGTTAATCTTTAATTACAACTACTTGTTTAATAACTGTGTAAATATAGTTATTTTAAATCCCTAAATTTTTAAAAGATTATTAACAGAAAATTATTCAGCAACTTTTTGTCAAACAGAATCTTATTGAAGTATCGGTAGTAGTGGCGTTATTCGACGGAAATAATGTACAAGTATGTTAGAAAAGAAAACCCGCTTACAAATATAGCAATAGTGAAACGTAACGTATTTATTTATTATACATTATACGATGAGCTCTTTAGTGTGTCAAGTAAAGACTAAGTCAGCTGCATTTATAGGTCCGTTAGGATAAACTCGCCTGTTAGGGATCGGCCCTGCCTAGTATAGCTAACAAGTTTTTCTTTTAAATAAGTAAAGTTGTTGCTTATTTAAAGTATTTACAAACAAAATGTCTCTTTCTCTCTCTATTATTTCTCTTCACTCGAGGGTGACCGTCGAGGTCGGTAATCTCTTACCTTGAGGTTACCCGACTGTTCGTTAGCCACCTATACCATAACGCAATAAGTTTCCAACCAAACTATACCTTGTGTAGTTAAGAAAGTGTTGTTTTGTTTACATAAGAAGAAAGGTGGTAAATTTGGACAGATTAGAAAATGAAAACATGTCCAGATTCCAGAAATCCTTACATTATTAGTTTTTATTTAAGTGCTGTAACTTCTAAAGTAAATTAAAACATTATGTAATAGAAGTATGTAATGAAGTACATAAAAAAAGAATATAGGAAACTATTTCTTTCAAGTAACTTTAACTGTAGGAGAGCCATGCTTCGGCACGAATCCACGGTCTCACAGAAAACCGGTGTTAAGCAATTCTTTCGTTGCCTTTCACTGAGTGAGTGAGGTTACGGCAGCCCAAATCCCCTTTTCCGCTGACTCGAGCGGGAGGGACTCGAAGGGCAGCAACGCACTTGTGACTTTTGAGTTGCAGGTGTCCTTGGGCGCCGGTAGTTGCTTACCATCGGGTGACCCGTCTGCTCGTTTGCCATCTTATACCATAACAAAAACTACATATCGGTATTGCCTCAATTTTTTCTCCTCGTCCAATAAAATTGAAAAATATCAATATTTTCGCATTCAGCTTGAAACGTCTACACTGCAATTTCGAAGGAAAATCATTTATATGAACAAAACCTAGGTGGTTCTACCCGCAGTCACGCACGTATCGACAAAGCATAATGTTGGTCTAATGGTGTGCCTAGTTATTTTATTACCTACATATTTAAGGTTTATTTTTATATCTAAGTAAATAAGTTAGTAAGGAAGTAAGTTTTCTTGGCTCAGTTAAGGGTTAATTGTCTTATATGTTGGATAACTTTGCACATAAGGATGGCACTTCTGAAGTAGATTAAGCGCAAAACAACAGTCTCAGTCTTCAGTTGTTCGGTTCAGGTAGACAGGTGTGTTCACGATGTTGTTAGGAAGACGAGCCTCGAACGAGCAGAGTGATGTGGCGGCGCATCCCGGCGGTTCCCAGGCGAGCGTGCGCTATCGCGGCCCCATCGCGCCCGCGTCGCCACAGACGATTATTATCCACTATGTGTCCTTCCGCTTCTGCTATTTATACTACCTTCGCACTGATGTTTATGTTATTGGAGGCAGAGTAATAACTGTGTGTAATGAATCTTTATTCATTCATAAAGGGCGTCTGAACTTAACGCCTTCCCTATCTCGAGATTTCCTAGATTCCCTATATCTATCGTTGAGATCAAACTGTTCCACACTATTTACACGACAAGCTAGGCGGGGCTCTAAGTCATAGAATATAGGTATATGAATAAAAAATATGTGTTGTAATTGCTATTTTCTACGAGCTAGATTTTGCCCATGGCCTCGCTTGTGCTATGAATGAGGTATAGGTTTTCGAGAACCGTACCCTGGAGGGTCGATTCCCGGATGGGTCAAATATTCTGATAATCTAATAGTTGGTTTTAACCTATGTAGAATAAAGAAAACTCCAAAATGAAATATATGATTGAGCTTTTTTAGACACAAGTTAGCTTTAAAGCTTACTATTTTTGTAATGCTTTTAAATAAAAAAATATTTTAATTACTTCACACATGCACAATAAACGTTTTATCTCGTCCATACTTATAAAATTATTATGTTTGATAAGACATGCTATATACAGCTAATATCCTCAGTATATATGATCTTGGTAGAGGTGGCAATTCTTTACACGGTTCTTTTGGTCACAACCCTAACAATGATAATAAACAGGTGCCAACTCAGTTTCGATATATGCCGTACGATGTTGGAGTTTGATGAAATAATAGTTACAGTCATAGTTAGTTAAAGTATAGATAAATAAATAGCCTGTAGTTGAGTTCAATGGGTTTCATGTATGTTCTTATGACACGCTTACATGGCAGCAATGAACCACAAAATACTTCAACGATTTTTGATGTTGCGTTGCTACGACAACGATTAGTACTATCACCGCATTCACCTTATTAGGTATGTGTAGTGAGCAATTTTGCGCGGTGTGGAGCTAGCACTGTCAATACTAGAGTCCTTCGGGCGCAGTTTTCTTGCAATTTTGTCACGCGGCTGCGACACGGGCCGAATGTTCCATGCGCACATTAGCGCTACATTCTCACGTCGAGTCGTGGCGAGCGACGCCGCCGGTAGCGCGAACCGCACCGTTAATCAATCGCGACCGTGGGAGCTGGCCACGTGCGGACCTGCCCCGCGCCGCCGCCCCACCAGGCCACGACCTGCGGACGTGGTGATCACTCGTCATCAGTGTCAACCTTACATCCAAGTTACGCAGCCCCGAGTCAATGTCGCTATTTATAGAACATCACAACCCTGTGAGTGATGCTTGTAAGTACCAGTGAAAAACGATGCGAGAGGTGCAGCGCATGAGCAACATTGCATTCTGCGCGCAGGCGCGAAATACGAAACAATGGAGGTTTAAAATACAATGAGTGCGACCTGAAATACATAACATCAGCGACATTCCCGTCACGACCGCGCGCGAACCTTTTTCGACTATTTGTTCGTGTAGCGGCGGCTGCGGGCGTAGGAGACCGCGCTGGCGCGATCACGAGCGACCGACCTCTCCTTATTAATAACGTGTTTTGAATTGGAGATTCGGTAAATATGATGTTATGAGCGACCGGCTTGTGCCATGTCTCCGTACCAGCGACGTCCCCACGCTAAAGTCCCACGTCTCTCCCGTTCCTTCGGCTGTTAGCATTCGCGGCGATGCGTGGCGTGGTCTACGTACACACGTAACGTATGCGCTCGTGATTAAATAAACACGTCTCGGATGCAGCGATGAGCCACTAATTGCTGATCGCGATGCAGCGTGACGGCGCGGCGACACGACCGCGGCCGTGGTGCGCACATCCTAGCCTAATTGTCTCGGTTACACCCGTTTTGCATACATTACAATTGGAATCAGCAATTCCGACGATGTCTTAGTTCCCGCTGCTAAGAGCAGTTGAGCTATCGCCGCGATTATCTGCCCTATAGCGGGTGCGATTGATATCTTTTCGGAACAGCGACCTCTTCGGTAGTTAAGACGTCGTGCGAGGCCTGAATGTGGTCTTCGGACGTTTGCGGGTTGATACGCAAATTGGCTAATTAGTGTGTGGGTCAGATGGTAAGGAGTAGCTGCAATAAGAATGTGATGCAAATTAATCGGCAACTCTTAGCGTGGACGTGGTATGGGAGCTGCACGTTTTCGTTACGTGGCTCCAACTAACATGGAGTGGCTTTCGAGATCCCTGAAACACTCTTTTATAACATTTATAGGTCGTAACAAAATATTTTTTTAGAATGTTTATTGCAACTGTTAGGTATAGGCAAGTGTGTATCATGTGTACCCTTCGATTTTTCTCAGATTTACAATGGGACAATATATATATATATATATATATATATATATATATATATATATATATATATAATATATATAATAATATATATATGTATATAAATTGCTGGTAATACGTTTTTGAGTCGTTAATGTAGAAAGTATAAATTAGTTAATGGAGAACGGCAGGTCCTGTACTTATCGTATCCCTAGTCATATATGATGGATGGCTATGAGATTTATAATGTTTACAAAGTGAGTCATCCTAACTATTTTTATGTTATTATCATATTTTTAGAACTTTGCTAAAATAACATAAATTCTTCTCAAATAATTGTTACAACTGCAATAACTAAACGTTCAATTGTTATCAACAAAACGCATATTTAAAAAAAAAATATTACATAAAAAACGATATGTTCACATTTAGTTTAATGAATGAGCTCACTAGTGTATTTGGCAGTTAAAAACAAACATTTCTTTATTAATAATGTTGACTGTAGAGATAAGACGAAGTAATAAAAAACTCATTATTGTAAATTAATTAATTTAAGGAAAGGTACTAATAACTTTTATTCAAATCGATTAGATAAATCGTGAACGTTATGTAAAAAAAGGAAATCAACTGATTTGACAGGACAACATTTTATTGTCGGATCAAAAAATCATAAACGAATGATGTTGAAAGAAATATGTTGATTTGTTCACAGCAATTACAAGTTATTTTGTGACAGCCAGCTGTCATTGGTATCGACTACCGTACAGCCTCTATGCAAACTACAAACTGAAATAACTTTTGAACGCAAAGTTCTGAAAATCTGGTAATTAAAACTGTAATTGTTGATGATATTACCAGCCAAATAAATACAAAAATAATGACTACCATGATACATGCTTGGCATTGTCCTTCAAATGTAACATAATGGATTGATTATTATTCGAGTATTATCTCGCCTGATGGTCACTGACGAGCAATTTGTAGTAGTTAACATCCAAACTTGCATCTCGATTTTCAACGTGTACCGAAAGTGGTCATAAGTTATGAATGAACATGCGCTATGAAAACAAATTAAATACTTCACTCATAAGATTTTAGAGAGTTCAGATGCTCATTTAACAAGGTTTTTTTGTATAAATGTTCTCAACACAAGTGATTATTTATAACAATTAGCACTAAATGCGCTATGGGCTGTCAAGACTGAAATTTCCATTGACTTGTACGATAAATCAATACACTTGATTTTATTAGGTTTATTGTTTATGTATGCTCGTTATAGGGTCACCGAATTCCGCAGTTGAACAATTCTTAATTAAGTAATCAGTTAGATGAGTAATCACCTTCCTAACCGGTTTTTGTTTCATTCCTCATCATTTTCTGAAACACATTCCATGCCATTGTTAAAACGCACAAGAACCTCGAATCCCAAAGGAGCTTTTGGTTGCTGATTAGTGATTTCAGTTTGAAAATTTAGATTTTTTAAGGCTGTTAGGAATTCAAATTTTGCATAATATCGAATAGTTACTTTAAAATGGATTTATAACAAGTTTTTTTATTTAATTTATCATACAAATTTAATATCAAAGTTTTTATTATTACTATTTTCGATAATAAAAACTATTGTTGAAATTTTCAAAACTTTTTGTGCACTTCAAAACAGCATGCAAAGTAATTCTGAATAGATTGGGATCATATCAGAGGTAGTATCTGTTTCTTGTTTGTTAAACAATTAGTAAAGCAAAGCAAATATCAAGACATTATTAATAGCATTTGATAAGTTTGATAGAACATTAATGTGTCTATGTATAGGTATAATACAACAATACGAATTGACTGCACGGATGGCGGAGTGGTTTAAGGGCCCGCCTGCACATCGATATTTCACAGCGAGGCTTTTATTCGCTTGGAAATAGATCGTCACCGTATCGCGTTCATCATCATCATCATCAACAGCCTTTACTAGTCCACTGCTGGACATAGGCCTCTCCTTAGGAACGAGGTTTAAAATTTTATCGTATTTTTTTTATCGTATCGCGTTCAATTTGCATCAAATCACAAATTATTGTTCTCGCGATTTTTTTTCCGCGAGTGCGGATAGTGTGTCACAGAATTTTGCGAAAAAAAAACAGCGCTTGTTGTGGGTCAAGGGTCAGGGACACAAGGAACACACAGACTCAGAACAACAATTTGTGGATTACACAAAGTGTCGTCATATGTGGGGATCGAACCCACATCATGAATGTTTGTAAAGTCCCCAGCGGCACAGAATATATTCCTAGTGCGGGAGTTCTCTTTTTAAAAACCTAACGTAACCTAAAATTTTTTAACCACACTAATGTAACTATTGTATTTGTGTAAATTTTTGTTTTATTTAGCTGTAGTATACATAAATGTAAGTAGTTATATATTATGTTTTGTTCATGTATGTATTTAGTTGTATATTTCTTTTTTATAATTCTTGCAACGATGGACAAAGGACTTTCTCTTGTGATTCAGCAAAGTCCTCTCTGAGGTTTGCTGGAAGAGAACTATAATATGGATTAAGCTCGCTTTTGTATGTACCATTCTCTTTTTGAGTATTAAGTAAACTTTTTCGAGCAAAATAAGTAAATTAAGACGATAAAAACTTAAAGTAAGTAATCTGCATGAAATGAATAATAATAAACAGAGGATATGGTGTACAAGGTGCTGCCGGTGCTATGCTATGCCGATAACATAAATTGTGTATTATGTTTCTGTATTGAAAACTAAGAAATAAAATAGTAAAACTGTTAAATATCTTCAATCCGTTAAGGTTGCCTGGAAGAGATCGCTGTGAGCGCTAAGACCGCCGATTGTTACGTCTACTTATTTGTAACTCATCTTTTGTTATTTTCTTTTTGAGTGTATACAATAAAGATATAGATAAATAAATAAAAATAATTGATTAAAAAGTCTACACACGGCACCAGTTCAATAACAAGGCATGCATGTTCTACCGACTAATATTCGTGTCGTTCAAAAGAGTTCAACGAAGTGAGCGAGAATAAAATCATTGCTGTCCTCGTTAACAATACTAATAAAAGCAACATCATTTCTTGATACAATACAAAAACTTACATCGGTTAAGTCTAAATAAAACCATATAACATCAATAAGAAAGAAATATATTAATGAAAAAACGTTAGTTTAATAAGTCCATGTATACCCATGTATATCTGTTAAAGCCAAAAATGTTAACGTTAGTTTAGCTGCTTTGGCAATATGTTACCTAAATAATGTCGTTGCTTTACATTTCATTAAGTTATGAATTAATTAAAAAGACGAAAAGCTGTTTCACGTGCTGTTTTTGTAAAATTATGGGTCAGCTATGAACTTAGAGAAATTACTTAAGTTACAGTTTACAGTTAATTTCAATGTCTGAAGAAGATACCAAATCACAGTCGCTGATGTGCTTAAGAAACTTAATGTGAACTTAATGATTTTGGGTACTGAGTAAGTGTTGCTTATTTTTTTTCTAAAGCTTGGGAACTGAGTTTAAGGTTTAAAGAGATGGTGGTAGATCGTTCTAGCACGAAGTATTTGGTAGTTTAAAACGGAGGGTAGCAGTTCGTTGCCTTGGTGATAATGTGTTTAAGCCTGATTTTCATTTTTGTTATGGTCTCTGGAGCATGCCAGAATTGTGTATAGGAATGAACATTTATCATCTTCTATCTTTCTAATGTTACTACACAGGGCAGCAGCACTGTAAAGAGAAGGATAACTTGGAACTGAACAAACCCTATACCGACTCGTCTGGTCAGTGGTATAGTAGGCCAAAACCTCTTTTGTAAGGAGAGGCCTATGTCCAGCCGATGTGATGTTGATGTGATGTTTCTAATGTGAAAACTATATAATATGTATGATATTTACTTGAATTATCTCTTATTATTTTAAATCCTAATTACAAGTCAGGCGGAGTGCAGCCCTACCTTTCAGACACGTGACGGGAACACCGGAAATCACCTCAAAAACCATTTTA